CAAATAAGAGGGTGATTCATTCCATAAGGGGGAAAGTAGAAAGTACTCAAGAGACCAGTGAATGAGTTGTTATGGCTTTAACATCGTGTAAGATTGTTATGTGTCTTACTTACCCAAAAGGTAAGTAATAACTAACTAACTAACTAACTTACTTGAGTAGAATTGTTTGGCCTTCTATCTATTTATTACAGTATCCAAAAGAACCATGCTTGGCAAGCAATTGGACGTTGCAGTCTCTAGATCTGCCTAAGTTGCCAATCCTTTAACATCAGYGTCTCTTTTGCCTTTTTCCTCTACATCATGAGCACTCTTGAGAATTAAAAGCACACAAATCAATGGGACTAGACTTCCAAGAAAGCAAAAGGGCTTATTTCTTCATATAACAGCTACTAGACAGCTGGGTTTTCTTGATGAAGGATTTTGCAAATGCAAAGCTTATACATCGGTTTATTGGGTGCCTTGAGAAATTCTTGGAAAAGATTCTCAGATGTATATACAAAAAAGATTAATCATGCAGGGTACAGAAAATCACTGAGCCTAAAATGGTCATATGATGGCAAAGTTAAAGCAGTAAAACACACTTATGTTTCTTAGTGCACTTGTTTAGGCAACTTACACTATCTGGACCAGTAAGTATACTGGATTAGATGTACCTATAGTCTGACCCAGTTTGATTGCTCTGACACTTTATTTTAGTGTTTTGGATTGTCTTTTACTGTTTCGTAAGATACATGGCTACTGGGTTCTGCACAACATGGCTGATAGGAAAGCCTTACAGTATGTTTCAGATATGCTACAAAAGACAGAATGTATCTAAAAGCCATTTCAAAATGCAAACAGCCTATGAAATGGATTTAACAAAATAAATAAAAACTGGAAAATATTGTATGAAATTACTAGACTGCCTAATTATGAGTTAATAAGAAATRTCCAAACTATATGATTCTATATTCTTGAAAAATTCTGAGTGATGGCAATAAAGTTATGTTGAAAATAAAATACTTAAAGCCTTATAAATCTAGTATAAAAAACGTAATTAATCTGAATAATCTTTATCCCATTGCCTTTCTCAACATATGATATTGCAGTAGAAATTCCTGCATATGACACCAGCTCTTTATTCAGAGGTGTTAAGAGTTTTGAATCTGGCAACAAAAAGTGGTAATTTTCAAGGTATATGAGCAACTTCTGTCCGACCATCTTTTAGTTCACTGGTGAAAAACTTTGATTATATTCTGATTAGTCCTTACCCACACAGTAAGGTATAAAATTACTATGAGATATGCAGCATATTCTGCATCTAAATACAAAACACAAGGCTTTTATCAACACAACCACTTTTAATCAACACTGCTTTCACATTTAAATTTGGCGGGTTATTTATTACTGTCATTAGTTACAAAAACTCTTTGAAGGGACTGAATGTTATAATGATTATCTTGCAGCGAATAACTGTTGAGTAAGTCAAAAAAATACTTCATCAAAAATTAAGATGAGACATGTGTTCTTTGATGAAGATCAAACGGATAAAATGTTGAGATAAAAATCTGCAGATATTTATTTGAAATTATTTGAAACAGAGTCCATTAGGTCCTAACTGATCTAAGCCCGTACCTCTGCAAATTAACTTCATAGATGGAAACATTAAAATATTGAAGTGATTAAATAATTTTCCTGCAGCTACTTCCCTTTGACACAGCAATTAATCATGTTTTTATAGACTGAAATGCTGTTATAGATTAAAATATTTCCAAATATACTGGTTCAAGGAAAAAGTATAGTGATATTTAAACATATCTTTTAAATTTCTGCCAAGGCCTTGATTTGTTCTTTCCACACCAAAACATAAGTTTTGAGTGGGTTCAGGAAGAAAATGAACAGCGCAGTGCTTTTGTCCTCCAACTTTACTGCATTTATCACAAGTCACCCTACTAATGTTGCCAAGCACATAACAATGCAAGTGACAATTGATGCAACAGAAAAAACAATATTCAAAATTAAAATACTTAAGGTCAATGCTTTCTTTAGTAACATGGATGATATGAATGGTTGCTAAAGCTTACCATGGAATTAGGGTACATAATCTGTCAACAATTTTCCAGTAAAAATACTCAACACCTCTTTTCACCTCGTTCATATGAAATTTAAAATTGTATGAAAACATAAATCCTAAAGCCTTTCCATGTACTACCATACCAGCTAAAATTAAATGACCTGTACTTTCCGAATAAACAGAATGAAAGATGCTTTTTAAAATATCTTTTACTTGTAATTGAATTAATGTAATATATTGCTATGTATTTTCATTGAATTAGATTGCTTTAATTTGCGTCTTATTTCCACGTTTTTGAAAAGGTTAGTGTCTATGTTTGAAAGAGAGGTGTCTGCCAAGGAAGGTGGGGACATCCCTGGGARTGGAGAAGTATGGCCCTCCTTCTCTCTGAATTGTTACCACTTTGAAATCACAGGGTCTTCAAGCAAAGATATGGGAAAAGGAGTAACAGTTCTYTAGTAGTATATATGACAAAGACAGCAAACAACAACGGCAGCAACAACAAACAAAACCAGAAATCCAGTAACAGCCTTTTCTGTGCTGTCACACACTGGCGCAGTTAGGGTCACAGCCAGGCGGGCAGGGCAGGTGCGATGATTCCGTCGCGGTTGCAGGGGGCGCTGTGGCGCCAGCTCAGCTCTCTTTCTCACCTGGTAATGGCGGTCGCGCCAAAGGGAAAAGATGGAAGAGGGGCTTCCTTTACAGYCTCACATGGGGCAGCCGATCCCGGTGCCCCTCCAGATGGCGAGACAGGMTGCAGAAGGGTGTCTTGGAGCAGCGCTAGAGGACGGAAGGGGCTGGTTCACCCCGGGAGKGACAAACAAAAGGTAGCAGAGACTCCAGGGCCGTGCCCGAAGCGGCGATGGCTGGTTCCTAGGTCTGGGTGAACGAGGTGTCCCGGGTCTCGGCGCGGCACACACTGGCTCTGGGCTCCCAAGAAACAAGGAAAGCAAACCAGTAAGCTCCAGTCACGGTGCCGAAGGAAAAACGGAGGGAAAACCGGGCAAAACCCCCGAGTGGTTACAGTCTCTCTTGCGAGAGCGCGCAGCAGGTACCTCCCAGAACCAAATCCTCCACCGGGAGAGACAACTGGCCCACCGCCCACCCCCCAGCTCTCGCAGGAAATCTCAGGCTGGCTGTCAACTATCGCAATATCCCTGGAGCTGGAGAGTTGGGGATAGGGAACATCTCAGATACAAATTAAAAAAAAAAAAGCTCAAAGATGGGATGGAGTAAAAAGATATCTGCAAGACAGCTAGTGATATGAGTGTGAGCGCTTAACACCCAAATATCCAGTGAGGTTGAAGATCCTAGCTGAAATTACTAGTTTAGCATCTCATGAAAATTAGGTTCCACAGCAGAAGTAGCAAGACATAGCCTCAGCTGTGGAAGTACTTTAACTTCTATTAATACAAGGTTGTTCTATTATGGACTTAAATCTCTTTCAGTCAAGAGCTTGTTGGTATATAGTTCACCTTATTTCCTAGTTTTTTTTAGTACATAGTTGTTGCAGCTTGTGATRGTTATACGGGGCCCTGAAATCAGAGTAAATCTACTACTGTAAGAGCAATTTCAGTTTGCTTCTGTGGGGACAGATAGAGTGGAGTTGGTTGTAGGGCATTCCACACAAATGTCAGGTGCTTTTAGCAAGAGGTGTGAGAAAGATGTGACTGGTAAACCATGTATTGGTAGAACATGTGACGACACAGCGCAGTACACAGGTAATGGTCAAGATGGAATTCCATGTTTTACSTGGAATTGTTTAGTTAAAAGCAGGAGTTGCTGGCTACACAGACTGTCACAACTGTGTACTTCAGAGACACTTTTCTGGTTAGTAAAGGGCAGCAGATGGGGATGCACTGGGACTGCAGGGAGACACARCAGCAACCATAAGATGCAGTCACTGTACATGGCCTCAAGGTTACCCAGCCCCAGGTATGTTTCACCTCAGTATGAAGAACTTTTTTACCTTCAAGGTGGCAGAACACTGGGACAAGCTGCCCACCAAGGTCCTGGAGTTCTCCTCTCTGAAGATATTCAAAACCCACCTGGACATGTTTCTGTGTAACCCACTCAGGGTGACCCTGCCTTGGGAAGGGGGGCTGGACTAGATGATCTCCAGAGGTCCCTTCCAAACCTAACAGTTCTGTATACACCTGGAAAGGGACAGAGCCTGTCAGAAGACCAGCCGGTTACCGACAYTGAGTGGTAACCTCTCTGAAGTCTTTAAGGAAAGACTGGACTTGGCACTCAGCGCCTCGTCTAGATGACATAATGGTGTTTGGGCAGAGGTTAGAATCGGCGATTTCAGAGGTCTTTTCCGATCCAACTGATTCTGTGACTCGGTGTGCCAGCTGGGACAACGGCCGAAGGCCCGCACTCAGGCCGGAAGGCCACGTGGGCCGACAGCAGCCACCGGGCACCCCGGGGCCTTGGCACGCCCCCCCGCAGTAGCCCAGGGCCGRCTGGGCTGCCGCGAGGCCATCGGGGAGCCGGCGGGAGGGAAAGGTGCCAAACACGGTGGCGGCCGCGCTCTCCCTTCCATCGCCACCTGTCTCCGGCGACCCACTCCCCCTTCTCCTCCTCCTCCTCTTCCTCCCCCGTCGGAAAATGGCAGCGCGGGCCGCGGGCGGTGGGGGAGCGGCCCGGCCGCCGCCATCTTGAAGCGAGGGGG